GGAGCTCTTTAAATCACCGCTGGAGCCCTGCCGTGCTACCCCGGGGCTGCTGCCGTGGGGCTTGCTGGCGCTTTAAAGGGTCCGGGGCTCTGGCTGCTGCAGGGAGCCCCGGGCCCTTTAAATCACCACCAGAGCCCTGCCACCCCTACCCCGGGGCTGTGGCAGTGGGGCTTGCCGGCGATTTAAAGGGCCTGGGGCTCCCCGTAGTGGCCGGAGCCCGGAGCTCTTTAAATCACCGCCAGAGCCCTGCCGCCCCTATCCTGATATAACGGGGTTTCAGCTATAACGCGGTAGGGATTTTTGGCTCCCCAAGACCGCTTTATAGGGGGGTAGAGGTGTACCATGTGATCTGCGTGTCCAAACATAAAAACATCTTTGTGATCTTTTAACATACTTTATATATAAACAGAAATATGCAGGACAAATTACATATGCAGTCATATCACTATCTAAATTCTTTGTTTTTCATAGTTTTGATCATATGGGATATGATCCTTCAAGTTATCGAAGTTACTGCAGTTTGCTGAGCACCCTCAGTTACCATCAATTTCAGTGATTGTTCAGGCAACTCAGCACCTCAGAAACTGTGCATGTAAGTAAAGCTACTCGTATGTTTAAGTGTTTACAGATCAGCCCCTAACCAGTTAAAGGAATTCATAATAGATGAGCCTTTAAATGAGAGCTAAGATTGAGCTGATGCAGACACTGTAATTAATTAAACTCCCACAAGGGAACAGTAGGTGAAGTGCAATGATAGGAAAACTGAAAATGTGTTATGCAACTGCTATGGTACAATATTCCAAGTAAAGCAACATTTTAAGCAAAAAAGCTAGCTGACAGATTGTATCACAGTGATTTATTACAGCTACAAATGACCTTGGACTGAGAAAAGATTGAACAAAGGTTATGTAGAACCAATCTGTTGTGGAAAGTCTGCTTTCCTTAATCCAGTCTGAAGGTTCTTATTCATTTTCTCTAATTTTGTATCTTTTCTATCTGCATAAAGATCTTTCATAAATTAAGATAATAAGAACCTTTTAAACACACAGACCACAGAACAACCATAAGATGGTAAACGCTTTTAATCATTATTAAGGCTAAGATTTTGTCATGGTTATTTTTAGTACTGTAAAAGTCAGGGACAGGTCACAGGCAATAAACAAAATTTCAAAGAAGCCTGTGACCTGTCCCTGACTTTTACTAAAAATAACGTGACAAAAAAGGGCTGAGACCGAGCCCTGTTGCGGGTCAGTATGAGGGGGTCCAGCACCCACCGTCACTGTGGCTGACAGCTCCAGGGTCCCCCACTACCTGTAGTGGCTTGAAGCTCCGGGGTCCCCTAGCTGCCCATGGCAGCTCGGATCTGCACGGGCCCCTGCCCCTTGTGGTGGCTCGGAGCTCCGGGGCCGGAGGCTGTGAGCTCCGGGGTCCCCCCACTGGCCACGGTGGCTGAGAGCTCTGGGGGGGGGCTCTTTGAAACTGAATCCTGGTACAAATCTCCTGAATCATCCAGTACATCTCCCCTCAAATAAGGTTTCAGTACTGAAATTTGTGAACATTTTTTCTTAATCTTATATTCTCAAGTGTCCACAGAAGTTTAGGCTCTGACTCAGGACAGCACTAAAGCATGTGTTTAGCTTTAAGCACATTTAAAGTCAAGTGATGCTTTCCTGAAATAGGGCCTTATTGTGTAAATACATATAATTGGTTTTCCAGATTTTTTTTACTTATATTTCAGAACCTACCTCCCTACTTGATAATTCAGTTTTATGAACATTTTTTCCTAATTTGATGTCTTTTAGGTGGAAAGGGGTTTTGAGGAGTTGGGTATCTCCTGGGCACATGGCACTATGCTGCTTTATGAAAGAGCAGACATTTTTCTGACCTGGTGTCTGGTCTGAATGAGGAATTCAGGGAACTAATTGTACTATAAGGGCCTGATATGGATGTTTGACAGATAGTAATAGGTTAACAGACAATACAACTTTTATCATGGCTTCGCAATGAAACAGGTCTTTGGCCTGGAGACCATGAGACTTTACTTACTTTGGACAAAGCTAAATGGTTAGTGAAGTTGTCATTTGCTAGTGTTGATGAACTGAGGCTCTCTTGTTGATTTGATAATGTGACATTGTCAGAGAGATATATTTTAATATCATCACATTTAGTACTGCAATGAACAACTTTAAAAATGCTTTCACTTCTTCTTGAGATATTTTTCAGTGCATCTTCAGTTGAATTTCTGGACTGAAGTGATTCCATGCTTATGGTCCTCTGAAGTTTAGTAAAACTGCTAATTGGAGAGCTCACAGTAAAGCAACTCTGAGGTTTGTTCTTAAGCTTGGCCTGAGAAGGTTTCTTCTGCAAATGTAAGGCGCTATGGGGACTTTCTTCCATCTGACTTCTATATCCAAATCTTGGTCCACTACCATGGTAATTTTTTTCAACTTCCTTCAGTAGACTGAAAAAAGAGTCAAGATTTTTCAAGAAGTAATTGTATCTGTATGAATTACTCTATGGATTGGAAATTAAATATAAACTTGCCACTGGATTTCAAAGATGTGAGGGTGAGCAGGACCAAGAAAACTAACCCTTAAATCTAATGATCTCTTCAAAACTCCTATTGCTTCTTGTTTGACTTGAAAGCCAGATTGACTATGTAGTAGTTGTCCTGAAAGATGTGTAAAACAAACATAATATATTTTAAAATATTATTCAGTTTCTTCATTATACAGAAAATATATAGAAATCTGATATAAAATCTTCAGGGAAAAGATAAGTTACAAGGAAAATGAAGTTATTAAAACATTTCAAACAATCATTTTATTAAAATGGCACAAAATAATTGGCTTGAAAAGTCTTTTTTTTAACAGTTTTAAATTTTGATACTAGCTTTTAAGAATCACTACAATTATTTGAAAAGAAATCTAAAAAGAAGTCTGCTATTTGTTTTTTAATCTCTCTCCCTATTTGATTCCCCCACTTCTGTCACCACTATGTATATACCTCTTTGAAGTGATCTGCTTTGTTGAATGTGGAAGAGCAGGAATATATACATATTTTAATATCTTTATTCAACTCTGAGCATGAAAAGAAAGTCAAAATCAGAAACAGACAGTCTTTGTACTCTTTGGGACAAACAAACGCCAGGGGAAGCCATTCTATAAATCCTAAAATATATTGCACTAATGTTAGTGGAGGCTTAGCCAGTGTAAAGGAGCCAAAGGTCAACTATGAATTGAGTCCTTATATCCATTCAACTTATGGTGCTGTACCTGACTGACAGTTAGAGTTTGTTTGCACTGCTGTTGTAACCACGTTGGTTCCAGGATATGAGAGACAGCATGAGTGAGGTAATACCTTTTCTTAGACCAACTTCTGTTGGTGAAAGAGAGAAGCTTTCAAGCTCCACAGAGCTGTAGAAGAGCTCTGTGGTGCTTGAAAGCTTATCTATTTCACCAGCAAAAGTTGGCTAATAACAGACATTACTTGTTCTCTCAGGTTAGAGATTGTGTATGTGAAATACCATGTGAGTTCTGCTGTATGTATAAATACTATTTTTAAAATGAACAAAAATAGTGTTTTAAAAAATACTGTTATTTTACTTTCACACCCAATTTTCAGTGGATTTGATGGTCTATTTAATATTTATTTAAATGGATAACACTTGTGGGAAATATGGCACTAGAAGTTTAAAAGAAAACACCTCTAGATGATTCTCTGCACCTTGAGGTCTTTAAACCACGATTTGAAGACTTCAATAACTCAGACATAGGTTAGGGGTTTGTTACAGGATTGGGTGGGTGAGGTTCTGTGGCCTGCGTTGTGCAGGAGGTCAGACTAGATGATCATAATGGTCCCTTCTGACCTATGAGTCTATGAGTCTATAAATATTCAGTTTTTGAAATAGATACTGTTGTGGAATAATTCTGTAAATAGAGCTTAACCTAGTAGTGATAAATATAATTTGTAAATATTACCTAATTTAGACCAGGTACAGCTCAGGCTGTAATTATGATGCTTTCTGACTTGTAAAGATTTAGTCAAAAGTTGCATGTCATCTTTTATTTTATCACTTCTCTATAATATTGAATTGTTTGTCTCCCATGGAAACTAAAACAAAAAGACTTATTGCAGGTTTGTACATTTCTGTTGGAAGTATAGGCCTGGAAATTCAAAGTAGTCTGTGACAAATTTTGTAAAATTTAAGCTTTCAACATTTCTCAGAAGGTACTATTGGAATATTAGACACCGAAAATATACAACCTTTAAAAATATACAAATCTTGTGTCAGCTTCTCAGCTCTTGAGCTTTGCTAACTTACAGCAGCTGAGGCTCTGTCTGCTCATCTCCCATTATTTTTTAGTAACCTGTCTGAATGTAATAGAAATAGCAGTTAAAAGTTATTTGTCAACAGTTACCACAAAGTAGTGTCTATGGTTTTTTGTCCAGTTTTCTTTTTATACTTAGAATAGGAAATAACTTCAGGATCTCAGATATTATTGTATGGTAACTCTCAATAAGCTCTGAGTTTTTAACAGCAATGCACTCACAAGAATTTACAGTGTTTTCCTTGTTACTAGTACCTTGTGGAATGAAAAAACAAGCTTTTGGATGTAGTCTCTTTCTGATAAGAAACATGACTTTTGTTCTGAATTTTCTCAGACAGGAGAAGTGATGACTATCAACTGTTAATAAAGACAAGATGTGTGGTCAGGGACAAGTCAAGTCATCCCTCTGCCTCAGTTTCTCCCTCTGTGAAATGGGGATTATTTATTTAACTACATCGCAAAGTATTTTAGGAATTAATTAGTTAACATTTGCACAGCCCTTTGAACATGCAGTGCACTAGATTAGTAATAAATATTAAGTAATATGCATAATCAGCTAATGAACAACCAGATTTATTCTCTAAATTTGTACCCTAAAAATGTGAAAGAAAATTGCATGTTAAAGGACTGAGGGCTCAATCCCATAAGGTGCTGGGGCACTAAGCATGCTGAACATTCACTGAAGACAATGTGAGTTGAGAGCCTCCACAGAGCTACTCAACATCTCTCAGAATCAGGCCCTCAAAAAATTAAACCAAACAAATCCAACATAAAACCTTAGAAACCTGGGGCCAGCTTGTGGGAGTCAGTTAGCCAGTCATGTTTGGCCAGGGATATTTTGTTACTCTGTATGTTTTTTTAGATACCAAACTAAGGCTGTGTTTAGAGTTTGAGAAATCTAGTACCCATGGATCTTTGAGTTTACCTTCCTCCTAAAATCAAAATGACTCCCAACTTCTTAAACCAGAAGGCAACTATATCCTCCTTGGAAGTACTACTAAACTACTCCTGAGTTCTTCCAGGAATTATATCAGAACATTAATTATTCAATTGGTGTTGTACAACATTGATGTCATGTGCTGATGTGTTGTTTTAAGATACAGTAGTGGTTCCAAAATTCAGCAAAAACAGGACGTTAGTATTCACTTGTTCAAAAGCAGATAAAATAAATTCACATTTCTGCCCTACCTCTGGCCTAACAATACATCTCAGATTTGGAAGTACTTGAATGGAACAAAATCCTTTTGACTCATCTCTAATATCATTTACTGTCCTTTACATAATTTCACGTTACCACCTATTAACTCAGGAATATGTGGTTGTGGAAATGAGGGACATCAGGTAAGACTCATGTCTTTTTGCAGATGGTGAAATGAGATTATAAAATGGTCATGAATTCCCACTCATTCAGTAGAAGGCTAGAATGCTGTAGAAATCTGATAAAAACTGGAGCTCAGAACTATGCAGGTCACATTACCAACATTTTCTGTACAATTAGCACTTTGATCTCTTATGGCTTTGCTATAGTACGTGCAGTTGCAACACTCACACCTCTCAGAGTTGAGCCCAGACACGGGGATCTCAGTAGGTGGCTTTCCATCAACAATCTGGGAAAGCAAAGCATGAATACCAATGGAAAAAAATTGAAAAAACACTATTATGCTTGTACTGCTGAAGCAACAATAGTCATTTTAGAGGGTTATTGGCTATGCCTGGATCCTGCCTTAGAGCTTTGATCAGGAAATGAAATTGTTATCTAGTGATCTGAGCATCTAGTCTAGCGTGTCAAACAATGGGATGTCAAAGCCTGAGAAGGCAAACACCTAGTAGCAGAGCTACTGGTGCTGTTGAGCAGAGCTCATTTGAAACACCACAGATCTCCCATTTAGTCAATGGAAGCCTTTCCACTGAATTCAGTGGAGCTGGATCAGGATGTTGGTACCTAGCAGAGCTAGTGATGTGATGATGACAGTGATGACACTGAACATCTGACATTGTAAAGACCACTTTAAAAAGAACAGGGTTTTCACCTCCCAAACAGCCCTCACAGCAACCACCTGCATAGTATTTGCATTTCAATCTATATTGCCTAAACTTATTTAATGTTGTGGGGCATAACACATATTGCTCACTGCTAAGATTTTTAGGGTGACCAGATGTCCCGATTTTATAGGGACAGTCCCAGTATTTGGGGCTTTTTCTTATATAGGCTCCTATTACCCCCCACTCCCTGTCCCGATTTTTCACATTTGCTGTCTGGTCACCCTATAAGATTTCCATGTGGTTAACCTGAAATTGTTAAGTTAGTTTAATGTACTTGTTTACTAGTTCTCTGTCTTGTTTATACCCTGCAGTTACCTTTTGCTTTACTCTATCTGTATTCTTTTGTAAGTCATCTGATGGCAGACATCCCAGGGTATCCCATGACTTCTGGACATAATAGAATCCTTTCGGCATCAGTCCTGTTTCAAGACACAGTTCTCCAATGATGTTCTGCATTCCGAAAAGCATTTCTGTTGCTATAGATTTTTCAAGTTCATGCTGCAATCAGTCCAAAGTATACACATCCGCATCCACATTCACACCTGGTACACTCTTTTTAGAATAGCTGCATTTCACAGAAAAGGAAGTAACACATTCTAAGCTTTACAATGTTTTTTCAAACATTTATATTTCACAAAACAAAGTGAAAACATTCTTCTGGCTGCAATAAAAAAAACCCCTATACTCTGGGCTAGTTTGTGGTGGCAAGCATAGCAGAAGGTATTATGACTCAGAGAAACACTTTTGAGTCATAGTTGCTCCCATTTTCTCCTTGCTCCTTCAGATAGTAATATATTGCTGGCTTATACTACCACCAGTAAATTCAGCCCTTCCCTCCCACGATCCATGCTGGCTCAAATAGTCTAGTCAGTGAGTGAGGGGTGGAGCTAAGGCTTATCCATGCCCCACCCCCTCCTGTTCACTCCCTTCCCACCTGCTCCAGGAAGGGAGTAAACTTGCAAATAGCTGAAATGGTCCCACTGATTAGCACCTTCTGACTGACTGGTGCTACAAACAATTTACTTTACAAACGCTTTTGCCATCTGCCAACAAGAGGGTCAAAAGTGATAAATATTACAAGCAAAGATGTAGATAAATCTCTAATCATTTTCATATGACTTTACATTGTGCCTCTTCACATAACCTTGTAGTGGGTCTATCCACGTGTGACCTCTGTTTTCATGAAACTTTGTATCAAGGCCTAATATAGAAACCTTGTTCTGATGAGCCTTGGTATATGGAAACTTTATATCAAAGCCTCATGTAGAAACTTTGAGTCCAACCATACTGTGGTTCTAGAGCCCCAAAGGATACTTAGCTTCCAAGAAAAATTTCTTTTT